ACACACACACACACACACACACACACACACACACACACACACACACACACAGTTGTGTGTTTTTCAGATTCTGTAAAAATTGACCGACATGGCTTTCAATTTCAGCTATTCCTGGCTGCACAGCGTCACCATCATGATCAAACAAACAACACTCGACTCACCATCTTCCCTCCCGAAATAGAAACACAAATGGTATCAAGAGGGAAATCACTAACGGACACTAACGTTGGCCCAGTTTTACTTATCGGACCATGCACCATAAGCATATCAGACCAATACCAATATGCTAAAAATTTTCCAACATCAGCCAAAACTGATGTTAATGCCGATTTACCGTTTCATTTTGACTTGTTTTTATTCTGGCTTGTTATTGTTAAAGAAATCTATCCAGATAAATTGTTTCACCTGAATAGAGTGAATATAATTGTCGATGGATGAGAAGTATAAATATATAAGTAGCCTAGCGCAGCTGAAACAGGTAGACTAGTGCATCCTGAAGTTTTTAATATTAACATCTTAAAATTACATTATAGTCATTTTGGCTTTTAGAAAAATATTATTTGGTAAGATCACCTCACATTAAATGTCCTTTTGGAAAATCTAACTGCCTATTTGTACCCAATATTTGTAATACTCAAGTACATTTTATTGCAGAAATTTACTTTTGATTCTTAAGTACAAAAATATCAGATACTTTCAGACTTTACTCAAGTAATATTCTTAGAGGAGGCTTTAACTTTTACCAAAGTAATTTTATTTTAAGATACTTGTACTTTACTCAAGTATCACTTTGAAGTACTTTATACAACACCTGCTGTATATACTATCCATATACAATTTTAGATTAGGCAAATTAGTACTTCCTAATACAGACAATTATTATTACTATAATTGTAAAAACATGGATTGATTTATTAGTATAGACTGAATGGTGGACGAAGTAGCTTAAAACAGTTTTAATCAATTTGGGTTTTTTTTTAAATAAAATAAGCAGCAAAGAGTGTGACATTTTCTTTGCTGATCTGTTTCAGACTCATCAAAAATAGGCTGTGGGCACGAACGGCCGAACGTGTAGAGGAAACACAGGTGGTCTTTGTTTCTGTTCTCTTTACCACAAATCTGTCAGTGTGCAGAGTTTACGTAAAACTTAATAAACAAGTCAAACTCAGAGGTTGTTTTGTTGCGTGGTTGAGGGTTCAATTATTATTATTTTAACCCATTAACAGTTGCCTGTGAAATTCCTTAAAAACCTTTTGATAATTTTTTTAATTTTTGTAAGGGTGTGAAGCTAACAGTAAGAACTGGGGGAAGTCATCTGACACCCTGGTTTTAAAAAAAGCCTCTGGTAGCGTCTGAAATCATTTGGAAACATATAAAGGCAGAAATCACACTGATTTTGTCCACAGGTGAAACAAAGTCTGTTTAGGACACCTTTGTTAGAAGAGGGGACAAAATGTTCATTATTCATGAAATCATTCTTCATGAATTCAGAATGAAGACTATGTGAACGTGAACACGTTTGATGGTGGATGGACACAAGATGAAGGTTCCAGAGGTGAAACAGATGCAGAAGAAGTCGTGTATACAACTGTCATCTTCCACAACAAAACAAAACCCACAATGTGAGACCTGACTGTTGTGTTTAATAACAGAGTTTGACATTACAGGAACAAATACTGATAAACTGTATGACTTACAGAGAGCAGCAGCACTCAGAAGACAAAGCTGTGATTTACAGTTCAGTGTGCAGGTAACACTCAATTTTTTTCTGTTTCACCCAGAAATGTTTAAGTTTTTGCCTAATTTTCTGACATTTTTCATGCTTTCATGTTTTTCAGGAATCAGCATTTGAATCATTCTTATACTGAACCCTCATGATTTGACTGCAGACACTGCAGTGTTATTGTTCAGACACACAACAGCCAATAAAGGCAACAACTCTCTTTAATAATATCTCAAAAATACAAAAATGTCCAGTTCAAATATGAAAAATAAAAGAATGAAAAAAAAAAAAAACCATAAAATGTCCATTAAATAAAAATGTGGAAATAAAGCAACTACTCCTGTTGAAACTTACCTGGTGATCTGTTTCTGTGATATCTGTGACCTATGTGTGTGTGCACGTGTGTGTGTGCATGCTTGCGTGTGCATTTATCTGGAGTGTTAGCAAAATATCCTATGAACTTTCAAATTTAAACAAAACAAATTTAAACAAAACTTTCCAGAAAGTAATATCTGTATGTCTAAAACTTATTAAAGGGGTAATATTATGTGTTTCTCAGGCATATATTTAAATTTTATACCATAATAAAGTAACTATGTCACCTTCAGTTGTTATTAAAATGCTGGTTTTATGTTTAAATCAAAAATAAACTTGACTTCCAATCATATCAGTCTTTAAATGTCTTGAAATTGGCCTCTGTCTTTCTAAGAACCTCCTTCTGCTTCTGACCCACCCATTTCTGCCTGCAGGAGTCATGGGCAGGGTGCGTGGGGGTGGGGAGGTGTGCTCTGCGATGAGGAAGCTCGGTTTGGAGACACAGCCCAGAGGAGGAGCTAATCCCAAAAGGCGGTTCTAGTCCCAACCGGTCATTTTTGCTCCCCTGCCTGGCTGCCTCAGGACACTACAGGATTTCTCAAACATGCATGGATGAATCAAAGCAAGACTCTGGGCATGTTTTTAATGAGAGGATAACATCATAACATGGCATAAAGCTCAAAAAAGTTGATTTTACATGAAATTGCCTCTTTAACTTTTGTAGTCATCCCTGTTCAAAATGGCCTCCCCAGCTAAGCAATCTTAGGAAACACAGACATTGCTGTAACTCAACCATTATTACAGATATTGAGCTAAAACTGAGCGCGGTAGCAGCTGAGACTGATCCCCAACATACAGTAGCTACATTCTGAGTATTAACTGTGTGAGATCACTAAAAAAATATGAAAAGTTCAAACATACGTGGATGCATTTGAGAAAAGACTTGCATTTATAAAACATGACGGTAGAAGTATCACGATTCTCTACACATTTCTTCTTAATTAGGTCAGGATATCAGTTTTTGAGCTGAAGTCTACAGAGTGTCGTGTGAGCACCAACACACAAACCACAGCTTTTTGACTCTGTCTTTAACGGAAAGCATATCGGGTCTTCTTTTCAGGGTTGGTTTCGTGCGACAAAGGCTCACATTTAACCTGTAGTCTTAGTCAGCGCAGACGCTCACATTGTTTTAGGACTAGAAGAACGTTTAGAGCGGTGATTGGAGCATTTTTTGTTGTTGTTAATTAATTAGAAACTATCAGATGGCCCACGACATGTTCGCCACACATCTGAAATGGATGCAGATGCTACTTTTTCTGGGCGGTGAGTACAGACTTTTAATCTGGATTTCAGCCTGTCATAAAGATGAATGAAGTCCTGTTTAAACTGTTTCAGGTGTTCTCAGCAAATGGGCTGTGAAATATCAGCACCAGAACTTTTGCGCAGCCAGAGGATCGTCTGTGTTCATCCCCTGTTCGTTCGAATACCCGAGAAAAGAGACTGTAGAAAGTGTGATGTGGGGCCACGAAAGAAATAATCTTTATAACGGTCCTTTCATTTATGACAGCCGATATGAGGACACGTCCTCAAGGTTCCAGTACACCGGAGACAAAAAACACAATTGTTCATTTCGGATACTCCATGCGCAGAACAACGATACAGGATTATACACGTTCCGATTTATAACTACAAACAACAAGTTAACTGGTTTAGGAGGCTCTAAGCTAAAGGTGTTTGGTAAGTTTGTTATGTTTTCCCCTCTCAGGTTGTGAATCACCTCTTTGCTTGTCTTTAAACGTCAGCTACACTTTGATCTTCCAGATCTGAGAATTCTCACAACAAATGAAAACACAACAATAAAGGAAGGTGACTCAATGAATCTTAGCTGCATCTACAGCTGCGATGGTAGTTTTTCATCAGAATTCACCTGGGTTAAGGACAAGATAGCCATACATGAGGGACGGGTGCTTTCTTTAAGAAACATGTCTTTCACACATTCTGGGAATTATTATTGTTGTCTAAAAGGCCATTCAGGAACAGCCTCGGGAGTCAGACACATTGAGGTTGAATGTGAGTACCGGACATAAATAAAATAAAAATTAAAAAGCAAATTTAGATTTAGCAACGTAATTTGTTTCTTTGTTTAACTTAGACGGCCCAAGGAACACATCAGTTTCTGTCACACCGACAGAAGAGATAATAAAACCTGGAAGGACCGTCACTCTGATCTGCAGCAGCCATGCGAAGCCTGCAGTGGAGAATTATACCTGGTTTAAAATACACAACAATATCAGCACACCTGTTGGAGACAAGCCAGAGAAACATATTATGGAAATTCACCAGAGCGACCATGGACAGTACTTCTGCTCTGCCACCAACAAACACGGGAGTCAGAACTCTTCTGTGGTGACACTAAAGATTAAAGGTGAAAAACAATTCTAAACATTTTAAATCCTGAGGAACAGTGGATAATAATTTCTATTAATTTCTTACTTTGGGGCTGTAGATCTATTGCTCATGGTAATCTTAAAGGCACAGTGTGTAGGATTTTGTCAATTCTTTTAGCCGAAATTGAGATAATCACTAATGACAATAATAACAAAAAACATGTCTAATCATTGCAGACAAAGATCTTGTTTTGTTATTTTTACCTTATAAAAAGCTGTTTATGTCTCCATGGTCGCGGGTCGCCACTACAGGCAGCCGCCATCTTGTCTACGAAGGCTCATGAAGGACAAACTGCGGTGGCG